TGCTGCTCTGTCCCCCGCCCCGCGACTCGGTGGTTCCGGCTGGCTCGGTCCGCGTGCTGCTCTGTCCCCCGCCCCGCGACTCGGTGGTTCCGGCTCTAGGCGCCGCTCTGTCCCGCGCGGCGCCGCTCCTTGGTTGGCGGCGCTTCCGCTTCCGGGCGCGGTCCCGCGTGCGCGCGGGGCGATGCGGCCGCTCACGGAGGCGGAGACGCGCGCGGTGTTCGAGAAGCTCGGGAAATAGTGAGGAACCGGGACCGGGACCGGAACCGGAACCGGAACCGGAACCGGAGCGGGGGGGGGAACGGGGACCGGGACCGGACCGGGGGGAACCGGACCGGGGAACGCGGCCCGGGCCGGGGGGCAGGAGGTTGTGAGGAACCTGGACTGGACCGGCGTGGGGAGGGAGCGGGGCCGGGGCCGGACCGGGGGGTGGGAGCGGGACCGAGGGGATCCCGGGGCGGAGGGACCGGGACTGGGCGGGGGCAGCAGGTTCGGGGGGCCCGGGGGGCTGTGAGGGGCGGGGGGGTGACAGGGACAACAGCCGGACGGGGCGCGGGGGCCCTGGAGGCTCCGGGGGTCCCGGGGGTCCCGGGGGTCCCGGGGGCTCCAGGCGCCCACGGCCTCCGCGCAGCATCGGCGAGAACATCCAGCTGCTGGTGGAGCGGCCGGACGGCACCTACTGCTTCCGCCTGCACCGCGACCGCGTCTACTACGCGAGGTGGGTGCCGGGGKGCGGGGGGCGCGGGCGCCGCGCAGCCGCCGCAGCCCCCGCGCTCTCCCGCAGCGAGAAGCTGCTCAAGGCRGCCGCCAGCGTCCCGCGCGAGAGCCTCGTGGCGCTCGGCACCTGCTTCGGCAAGTTCACCAAGACACAGAAGTTCCGCCTCAGCGTCACCGCCCTCGACTTCCTCGCGCCCTACGCCAAGGTGGGAGCTGGCGGCGGCCGCGGCGCCCCCGGCCCCCCGGCCCGGCGCCCCTCACGCCGCTGCCCCCCGCAGCACAAGGTGTGGGTGAAGCCGGGCTCCGAGCAGTCCTTCCTCTACGGCAACCACGTGCTGAAGTCGGGCCTGGGCCGCATCACGGAGAACACGGCGCAGTACCAGGGCGTCGTGGTCTACTCCATGGCCGACGTGCCGCTGGTGAGCGGGCGGCGCCGAGGGGCCGGGGCGCCGCTGCCGCGGAGCCGCCCCCAGCGCTGCCGCTGTCCCCCCCGCCCAGGGCTTCGGCGTGGCGGCCAAGTCCACGCAGGACTGCAGGAAGGTCGACCCCATGGCCATCGTGGTGTTCCACCAGGCCGACGTGGGCGAGTACGTGCGCAGCGAGGACACGCTCACCTAGGGCAGCGCCGCGCGGGGCCGGCCCRGACGCGGGGCCGGACTCTGGGACTGGCCCTGCGAGCACAGCCCGGCGCTCCCCGCCACCGCGGCCCTCTTTGCATAAAACCCTTTTCCTTTTGTAAACTGCGTCTTGTCTCGGATCGGGGAGAGAAGGGTCGGTCCTTACCCCCCCAGGTGCYTTTGGGGGAAATCAGGCTCCGAATTCACCTGCCGCGGGTCACTGTTGGGTGGTGACACCCACAGGGTGGGTGCACAGGGAAAAGGCACCGTGTCTGGTTAAGCACGTGGGCTTCCCAGGGAGGCAGCCCCTGTTCTCTGCTTCCTGGCCGGGAGGGGGGGACGGGAGCTTCCCAGCGGGAAGGACACGCAGCCCTCGGCTCGCAGGGGCTGCAGCCAGCGCGCCGTTGCTGCCGGGGGGCCCTGGGGGGAGAGGCGCCCCAGGCCTCCAGCCTTGGAGAGCAGCGGGGTGCAACAAACAGCCCCCAACACACACAAGGGTAGGGCGGTTACTGCAAGCTTTTTTCCCTTCAAACGATGCCCACAGAGCTGCGGGCAGAAGCGGGCGCAGGAGCCGCTCGCTGCCCCCAGCCCGGCGCGGGAGCCGCGCGGGGCCGGGGCGCGCGGCACCCCTAGCAGCGGGGCCGGCTCRCGGGCGGCACCGCGAAGAGCCGCTTGAGGAAGCAGAGCTGCAGCGCCCCGGAGAGCAGGATGAGGCAGCTCTGCGCCAGCGACCAGCAGTTCACGTAGTGGTGGTTGGACTCGAGCAGGAAGGAGTCGGCCGCTTTCCGCATGCGGGCGAAGTTGTAGAAGCGCCACATGTGGAAGATGCGGATGTCCAGCTTGCGCATGCTGACCTGCGGCGCGGCCGGAGCGCGGCCCGTGGGCACCCGGCCCCTCGGGGACCCCAGCCCCTCCCCGGATGAAGCTGCTCTGCCCGCTCTTGCTGTTGTCCTCAGCTCCAGCCCAGTTCTGGGTCCGGTTTCAGAGCCCCCGTGGCAGTGGTGACACCTACCTCAATGGCATCCAGGGTGTCATTGAGCTGCCTCTTCTCCTCGTGCTCCTCCGTGCCGAAGCCCTGGTAGTACACGCCGAAGCTGAGATAAACCTGCATGAAGCCGAAGTGGTTGTGCTGGTTGTCCAGGCAGAGCTGGTAAAAACCTGCAGAGAAAAGGAGGATTTKGGGTCCAGAGGAGACCAGCAGCTGATGGGCAGAGCCGGCCCCTCGCGCACTCTCATCCCAGCCCTGGGGGAGCGAGACACGAGCGTGGGGTCAGGTTGGTCCTTCAGGATGTTTTGCCCAAGCTGGGGGCTCAGAGGTGACCCCGGCTGGGTGTTTGCCGCCCTTGGGCATCAGTGGTCATCGGAGATCGGACATCGCTGCCCCCAGCCCTCCCCGCGCTCCAGCCGCCCGGAGGGGAGCAGCGCGACCGGGACCTGTCTCCTGTGTTGGGAAGTTGATCTGTCCTCGCACGTGCTGGGAAGAGCCGAGGCGGGCGCCGCTGGGGCCGCTCACGGTGGCCAGGACCTGCCTGCTGCTCGCCATGCCGGACGCGCGCTGCACCTGCGGGGGGACGGAGGGGACGGGAGGGACGCGGTGGCTCTGGTCCACCCTGTGGGCGGCTCCGTGTCCAGCACCGAACCAGCGCCGGGCGGCTCTGCCTCCAGCACATCCCCGCCGGAGGCGGCCGAGGGGCCGCGGCGCCCGCGCTCACCTCGTAGCTGAAGAAGAAGCTGCCGCTCTGGTGCGCGAACTGCCAGAAGCACTCGCTGCTGCCGGCGGGCACCACGACGGCGAAGTCGTAGCGGTCGGCGCCGCGGAACAGGGGCTCCTCGCTGCTCCCGCCCAGCGGCTCCGTGCGGGGGCAGCGTGCGGGGCTCGGCAGCCCCAGGGCCAGCAGYGCCCACAGCCACATGCTGCTCGGAGCGCGGGCGCCGCGTGGGCACCGAGGTGGCGGCGGGTAATCATTAACCGTGACGGCGGCGATGGGAGCCGCTTGGAACGGGCAGCACTGCTCAAGGTGATGCCCAGCCGCGCCGCCCACCGCGGCTGTGCCAAGGCTGAGCCAAACCCCTGTGCCGAGGGGCTGCTGCCCCAGTGCCGCCGTCCCCAGCAGCTCCCGTGCGCRCGGCCAGCCCCGCTCTGCAGGGTCCCTGTCACAGCAGGCACAGAGGCAGCAGCTGAGCTACAGGGCCCGCACGCAGCCCCCGAGCAGGGTGCTCGAGGCCCCTTCCCTGCCCTCGCACACGGCTGCRAGGCCGCCCTTGGGCAGGGGAGACCGCCCTTGGGCAGGGGATCCGGCTCTGCCCCTCACGGCACCGGGTTTTCCTTCCGCAGGGACAGGCACTTCCTCACCACTGGCACTCAGTGCCCAGCTTCTAGGCCACAGAAAGCTGGATCCTGGAACAGGAGAGGCYGGAATGGGGCTCCCCAAGCGCCACAGTCCCGGTCCCCCGAGGCGGCCGCAGCGCAGGAGCTGGGAGAGCAGAGCGGGAGGGCAGGGAGCAGAGGCCGGGGCCGCTCGCTGCAGCAGCTGCTGCTCTCTGTGAAGGACGCGCCAGGAGCAGGTGTTTCCCAAGGGATTTCTCCCCAGCCCTTGGGCAGCAGCAGGGCCCCGGGCAGCATTTCCCGAGCTGCCGCGGAGCAGGGAGCTCAGCACCAGTCACCGCTGGTGAGGGCAGGAGGAGCTAAGAGCTCAGGCCCTGTGCCCTGCAGCCCTGGCTCTCGGCGCCTGCAGCCGCGGGCACGAGGGCAGCCGCSCTCCCAGAGCCCAGCGAGCACCAGCCACAGAACTGCACGGGGGCAGCCAGGCCCTGCCTCCCCGCAGCCCACCGGGAAGCAGAGGCCGCTGTCACCGYGTCCCCAGCCTCCATGGGGAGCCCCACGGCCCAGGGGTGGTGCATACCCAGGACACCCAGGCCCTCTGTGCCCCAACACCCTCCGTTCCACCCCGACACACACGGCTGTGCTTCACACCTGCACCCAGCACGAGAACAACTTTATTTCACAGAACACTGTTCAGAAATGAGTCCGTCTCCCGCGCTAGGCGGCAAGCAGCAGCTCGGCCGTCGCACACCGGCAGCGAGCGCGGCGGGGAGGCGGCGCCAGGCAGCTGCAGTTCCTCCAAGACAGGATCAAAAGCACTAAACACCGAAACTTTTAACGTGGGAATGATCAATACCTAATACTGAAATAAAAAACAGGCATTTGTCAAAACCTCAAKAATCTTGAGGGGAGGGTGGGGGAGAGAAATTCCCACTTGCAAGCTACATATTTACAAAGCAGAGAGAAATGTAAAAAAAGAAAGAACAAATCACCTTGCCAAATTTCTTACCACAGAATCTCTGGGACTGCCTTCTGCCCCTCGCGAGAGGGACAGAGTGCAGACAAAAAAAAAATAAAGAAAAAACCACACAAGCAGTTTAAGACAAATTAAAACATATAAAAATAGCCACTGATTTGACAGCATCTGAGCAGAGAAAACTTTCATTTTGGCAGCMCACGAAGCTGAAATCCAGTCTGCAAAGGCTGCAGATGGAAGAGAGTCTCACTCCAGGCCACGTCTGAGTAACTGGCCATCAGGCTGAACAGCTTCTGCCAACTGCAGATGTAAACGTGGCAGCTACAGCGAGAAAGAGAAGGCACCTCATTCCCATTGAACACCAGTGCTGTCTGCTGCAGGGCTCTCCAGCACCAAGTAGCCCAGCAGCCACCAGCAGCCCTCAGGGAAGGGCGCTGGAACCTCTCTGCTGTTATCGTTCTGGTCCATCTTGCAAAGGCAAAGAAAGGTTCTGCTTTGAAGCTCCCTGGGCTTCCACTTCTAGAGGATTCCCAGCTTCTTCATGGTCCGCCAGCGATCCTTGATCATCACTGCTGTGCGGTTCTGGAAGGGATACTTCTGGCAAATGGACTTCCATCTGCCCTCCCCAAACTTCTTCACTCCTTCCTTGATCCACTCACTCTCCTGGATTGTCCATTTCTACAAAGAAGTAGGTGAGCAACATGGTGACCAACACACAGCAGTTTCAGGAGGGAGTTGCACCTGTGCAAGGCACTGCACTATCCCCTCTCCTCCCCGGCATTTATCTTTTACTCTACAATCTGTTCCAGTAGCAGGGAGAAAAGGCACGGATTCCAAGGCATACACAGCCTTCAGTGTCACAAATAAAGAAAACACTAGTTCAGCTCTGCAGTCCCCCTACATTCTTGTACTGAGATTAAACAGAAAGAATTGCAGGAAGTGATGCAGGGAACAAAGTGCTACATTGTGCACAGCAGCACAAAAGCAGTTATTTCCCCAAAATCAAGGGAAAGGGTTGCTAAAAGCACCTGACCTTGGAGCTCTTGGATGGCCACAGCTGCTGTGTGCACATCTCACACAGACAAGAGCCTCTCTGGGGCTTGGGGACACAGCAGGTCCTGTTCCTGACCACGTGCATCAAGGAGAAGGACTTTCCTCAGGTACTAGTGCCAGGGCACGTGGGTGGCACACAAGGCTTTAGCCAAAGTGCCCTGGCTCTAGCAGAGAAACTCGAGCCTGCTCTGCACATGCAAGGAGCTGCACAACTCGGATCCAGTAAATACCACTCTTCAGCACAGTGCCTTGTGCTGCTAGTGCAGCAGCTTGCCCAGCCCTGGTGACCCGTGTGCTGCCAGGCAGCGGTGTGAGCTTCAGGAGAGCCCCCACACAGCCCATCTGAGATCAGCTGCCAGCCCGCTCTGCTGCAGGCCATGTTCTCACGTGGGACGTACAGAGAGGGCTCAAGAGCTCCACATTACCTGCTTCTTGGAACCGAAGACCGTAGAGTTGTGGCTGTTCGTCTCAAGTGACACTGAAAAACAGATCAAGTGAGTTATGGAGGTAAGAGACCTCCTGCAGACACTGCCCTTGGCTCGAGTGCAGAACTGGGCAGCTAGTTACAACAAAGAGATTAACAGAGAGAGCAGTAGTGAAACTGGACCCCTTTATCCCCCCCCCTTTTCTGCAGCTACAGCATTCACAGCCTTTCTATTTCAAGGCATTAATTGCCTTGCCATTAACTGACCCAAAAGGGATCAATTTTGGTTTTAAGTAGCTAGTATGTTGAGGAGAATGGGAGCATCCATCCAGAAAGCAGCTACATTGTGCTTTAAAGCTGGAACCGAGATGTTCCAGAGCCTCATCCACTTCTTTCCACCGTCATTGTCAGCTAAGCTGTGCATCTAGCTGCAAAGCGAACTGGACTGGAAACTTGGTCTGTCTGAAAAGGTAAACTGACCTTCGCTTCACAGCAGTAAAAGCAGGAATTGGGCAAGCTGCAGGATGTAACGATCAGAACTACAAGTTAAGGATAATTATTCTGAAACTTGAGGAGGAGTTCCTGGTATGCATTTCAGATTAGAGGTACGGTTGTTTTCTCAGGCTTTCCATGTTTCTAGTTTCAACAGGGAAGGCAGGAAGCCAGCCATRAATGAGCCACCAAGCCAGGGTTATCAGCTACCACCTGCCACAGGGATTCTGTTCTTACCTGCATCTGCGAACAGGTCATCCTCCTCGCTCCAAACATCTTTTCCTTGTTCAGCAAATGAGCTGTTCCACCTTGCTTTGGAGAGCCTGAAAACAAGCAAGCATGGATTGCAGCTGGGAGCTAGGGAAAGATTTGTTCTAGTCAACTACCCAGCAACGCAAAGGGCTCCCAGGAGAAGCCACAGCAGATGGGCTGCAACTCGCGTGCAGCACAGAGGAGCAGGGCAGCTTGTCCAGCCCTGACGCAGTAGCTACACCTGCCACCTCCTGCATTCCCACAATCCCTCTGAGTCCCAAACTGGATGCAGCTCGCATCCAATTCTCAAATGGCACAATCTATTTTGTGATCAGTATTTGCAGAAATGTATCTGGATTTACTACATAATTAAGCACCTATAGCAAACAATAACAGCTAGACTTCCCTGACAAGAGCTTAACAGCTCAGTGCAGAAACCCTGAGTATTCTCAAGCAGCATTTAATTCTCATCATGTCACTACCAACACTACTGCAATCAACTGAGCTACGGGGGCATCTCACCGAGACCAAGTGCCAGCACTCAAACACAGCCCTGGGAGATGAAATTAGATGTTTTAAAAATATTGTAAAAGTTTTGCTGGTGGCTACCATATAGGATATAAACAAAATCATTTATGATCACAGCAAAAGAGTTGCTCTTTGTTTTCACTTAACAAGTTGCATATTTTAGCTTCTCTTTCTTGTACATAAACATTTAAAAACAAGACTTCAGCAGAGATGCATAGGATCAGTTAAAGCCTCTGGAAAGACATCTATCATTGGCAACCAGCAACCTGTATGAAAACACACAATACCTGTGATACTCCCATTGGAATCACTTCCAATACTAACCACAAGTCCGACTCAGTACAAGTCGAAGCAGGATCGTTTTCTCAGCTCCATTACCACCTACCAGTTAACTACTCGGCCAACAGACCATTTACCTCATCCAGTTGTATCTATATTAGTAGACAAAGATGGTCAATATCTTGAATCAAAGATAAAAGGTTTTTGTTGTTTACTCTACCAACACCAGCTCTGTCAAAACACTGAGTGCAGAATATACCACAAGAGACGGGCTTCATACTTGAGATTTTTAGTAGACCCAGGCTGGTCATGCGATTTCTGAGCAGGTCTGGAAGCAGAAGATACAACTGGCTCCTGGGATGAGTCTGGGCTCTCACTCAACTCGCTGCACTGGCTCTCCTGCTCCATGACCAGTTTGCTTATGGTCAACAAGCGTTTGCCCTTATGGGGTGTTTCAGGAGGCTCTGAGATCTCAGAATCTTGATTCTCCACTTCTTTCCGTTTCTTGGTTCTGTGGGATACAGAAGGAGATAGTTGCTTGGGGAAAGAAATGTCTGTTTCATCCAGTTTGGTGAAGAGCGCATCAGAATCCTGGGAGTCCGACAGAATCTTGAAGGCTTCTCTCAGAACAGAAATCCCATATGTGGTTACACTTCCAGAGGGCTGCCTACAAAATAAACAGAACCAAGCAGCTTGTAAAGACTTCACCAAGGCAGCTCCACCTCCCCTAAACCAGGCGCTCCCCCTAATGCTGGGACCAGCAACAATTCACTCTGTCCCTAGGGTGCAGGATCTATGAAGGACTTCCCTGCTCCTGAAACAGGGCACCGCTTGGCCAGCGCCCCGGCAAGCGGCTCTGCCGAAGAGGCCAGCACTACCTGCTAGAGAGCAGCCAGGCATCCTCCTGGGATTGAGACTAATGGGCTGATTAGCCACGGACTGTGGCAAAAATCTGTGTCTTTAAGGAAAAACTCCTTGCTGGGCCTGCTTGGGTGAACCTTCAGGAAAATGGAGTTGCCTGGACAGAGCAAAAGAGCCCTCAAAAGAAAACTGCTGCCAAATGTCATCTGTAGCAGAGAGAGAGAATTCCCTGCCCACCTTTCTGAGTTCTTGGAGGACACTTCCACAGGTTCTGGAGCTGCTGCTGCTGGTTCTTTAGATATTTCCATGGGCTCTTGAGACTCTTCCAAGATATTAGCTGCTGTTTCTACACGCTCAGGAGTTACTGCTTGGTTCTCTGCCCCTTCTGCAGACGTGGGAGCTCCTGCCAYATCCTGTGCTCTTTCTGCAGGCTTGGGAGTACCTGGTGGGTCTGGCAGTCCATTTGCAGGCTCAGGAGCTGCTGCTGGGCATTTTGGTTCTTCAGCACACTCTGAATTGAACATTTTTTTCACCATCTTGGACAGATAAAAAAACATATAACCATTATAAAAATGATCCCATGTAATGTCATTTAATTTTATCCTRTTCTAAAAGTCTCTTAAGCAGTTGGAATTGATTTTAGGTACAAAGCTAACGACTATCAATTAAAAATTGTAACATAGTTTGAAGAAATATTCAAAGGCTTGACTAAATTTAAACTACTGTGGAGCTGGCCCCTTGTTAAGCAGGTGCCAAATTCTGAAAGTCATTAATGAAAGCTACATTAAAGCCAAACTAGTGCACAGCACCATTTCCTGGAAAGCCAGACCTGCATCTCATGCCATTTTTCTCCTGCCCCAGCAGCGGGCGCAGGACGACCAGCCAGGTCACCAGGGCAGACACGCACCGTTACCAGCAACGGCTCCGAATCATCCACATAGATCTCCACAAACTGGAACATGCTGTGCTGAAAACTCTTGTAAGAGAAGTTGGTGATCACTGGATGAGCCAAATTCCTCTCCCGGATAATATTGAGAAACTCTGTCTTCATTTTCTGGGCAAGAGATAAGAATATCCAAATAAATACAAGAGATACAAACAACAAATTCAGGAATTAGGATATGGACAAAGATTAGGCTTTTCCTATTCCACACTCTCCAAGCCCAACTAAGTCACACCAATATAGGATTGGGAAAAGGCTGTAGGAGCAGGAGATCCATCTTGTTTCAAGAGATCTGACATTTGTGTCCCGGTGCCCAAGACACTGCACTGCCTAGAGATATAAAAATGGGAAACTTTGTGCTTTGCAGAACCAGCCCTTCCTTGGATGGAACTCCTGCTCCATACAGAACTTCAGTTTGCCTTGAGCCACAAGGCTGTTTTGCCTGAGGGACCCATGAAGGTAAGTGAAGGTACAAGAGTCAGAGAAAGGGAGTTCTGAAGTGACTGACAACATGAAATTTAAATGCCAAGTGGCCAAGGGTTCTTCTTTCCATGAGGATTTGTTACTTTTTCATCACTCTGATCCTTTCTCCCTTTTTCAGATATCCATAGGAGGCAGGGGACACATTCAGAACAACTCAGATGTGCTGCCAGAGCCCATAAAACACCAGCCCACTCCAAAACCGTCGCCTCTYGTTCAGTGACACTCACCTGGCTTATGGGAGTCTTCCCCATGTGTCTCCTGATGATTTTAGAGGCTTTATCAAACTCTCCATTTTTGATGCAAACTATAACAGCCTACGGAAGAGAAAGAACAGCAATTTCTTTGCTACGCATCTGTAATCAAACCCCTGCTATGATTTGTCATGGAATATCATTCTTTTTGTCATTTAAAGAAAACTATTCTAAGACATAGGCATGGCATTTATTAAAAAAAATAGCCACAGAAACATACATAAAATATATTCTACTTTGTCCTTTCTACTTTCAATTCACCTCTGGCAGAGCCAGGCTCAAGTAGGTCTGTATTTTCAGAGCAGCATATTCCCAAAAGAGTAATAAAACAAGATAATAAAGGTGCAAAAACAAGATAACAAAAGTCAGAGGGGAAAAAAAAAGCCTTGGTGCACAGGGTCTATAGACACACGTAATCAACCTGTATGTGAATATAGGAATATTGCTGATAACACCATTTGTTTCACTAAACTCTGTACAATGCAACGTGTAAATAATTTTCAAAAAGTCCCATTATGCAGCAATTCTGAGCACTCTGTGCCTATGCCTAAATAGGGCTCAGATGAAAAATGCTAATGTTTTTAGCATATTAATGATAAAGGAAAAATAAACAGGGCCTTACAGCTTCTTTCACCATTTTCTGGATAGATTCCATCGTCTTTTCGGCCACGGAGAACTCTTTCTGGATGAGCTCCAGAATACCAATCGCCGACTCAAGAGGGGTCAGTTCTGACTCCTTATCAAAGGTGCAGTCTGCAACAACAATTCACRCGTGTTGTTCACACACAGATGCCCTAGAGAGAACTTACCGAAGGCAAGCTGCTTCCTCTGCTCGGTTTGACAGCAAACTCCAGCGTAGACGAAGGGGAAATGAGAACGGATGCTGCATGGTGCTGAAAGCACCAGCGTGCTGGAGCCCCCCTGCAAATAGGGATGGCCACGGACCCCCTCCCCCCACCCCCCGCGGGGTGCCCCCCAAACGAAGCCCYCCTCCCCAAAAGGGCAGTTCTGACGGGCGGAGGAGCCGCGCGGGGCCGCAGGAGCGGCAGGAACGGGAGCCAGGCTGGCTCTGCCGCTCGGGCCGGGCCTCGCGGGGGCCGCCGCTCCGCGCTGAGCCCAAGGACCCTCCCCGGGCCCCTGCCCCACGCCGCGCGGGCACCCACCGAGGTTCTCGCCCTCCTCGATGCGCGACAGGAACTGCATGACGCGCAGCAGCTTCGCCACCGCCGGCTCCTTCTCGAGCGGCCGCACGAGCAGCGCTGCGGGGCGACAGGCGGGTCAGGCCGCCCCTTGGGGCCTCCTGCGCCGTCTCCCTCCCTACCCAGCCCCGTTCCCCCCCGCAGGGCTCGGTTCCGGCCCCCCCGGG